CAGGTACACCTACCTGAGGTTAATTCTGTTCCCTCTGGAGCTGAAAGTAGTTAATCTGTAGCTAAACTAAGACAGAAAGAAAGAATGGAATGAGTAAATTAACAGAAAGAATGGAGAGAGAAGAGGAAGGGGATGGGGAGGAGGAGGAGGAAGAGGGAGAAAGTGGGGCTGGGAGGCCCATTGAAGGAGAAGTGAATACATCGTCCCATAGGAGGCTTAAATCCTACAGCACCTATAGTCAACCAAATGGCTGATCAGAAGCAGCAAGGAGAGTAACTACTTGGGTGGATGAAGGGAATGCTGTGGATATAGTGTATCTGGAGCGGGGAACCAGCACATTTGACTCTTCCCTGGAATGTTAGGGAATTCCTAATAGTGTACCTCATTACCCAGTATGACCCCTCTGTCTTTTGGGACTCAGACTAGATAAGAGGTGCTATTGATCTGTCTCTAGCTTAACTGTTAGCCAACATTCACAAAGGCTTAGAAAATGAGCTGCTGAACAGCTGATAATGTGTTGCTTGAGAATGCAGAAGGAGCAATCATCCCCTCCTGCTGCTTACCTGCCCTCTCCAAGAGCAGAAGCTTTGAGAGGACTGATAGACAGCTTCTGTGAGGAGACCCCCACCGTACCAGCTGCCACCACCTGCAACTCCCTGATCTCCTGCTGTGGTGCCTGAAAATTATATTTGTATGGTAAAGGTGCTTGTTTAATGCTCTGTGAGGATTAGACCAGGTGTTTCTTGTCATTTATTCAGGTACTGCGAGCTGTATGTTGCTGGTAAGAGCTTAATTAAAGTCAGAGATTAGTGAGGCCTTATATGTAGTGAGGCCTTGAAAGATTAGTGAGGCCTTGAAAAAAGTAAGGCTTTGTATTTAGTGGCACAGTTAAAATTAACCTAATCAAAAAAAATGCAAAGGCTTGTACTACTATTGGTCAGTCATAAGGAGAGTTTGTCGTGCGTGGCTATGAGTCCACAGCGTAGCTCAGAAGTTATAAATTGGCCAGCACATCCAGAAATTATCTGAAGGGAGATGCAGTATTGTAAGAGAAGCTGCTAATTCAGGAATTAGCTGCTGACCTGGGTTCGGTGGGCTGGTGGATCTTGAGGAGCCCGAAGACTGAATACCAGTGTCCTTACCAGTACCCCTTGGAGAGCGCAGATTAGGGATGCCTGACTTCTCTGAGATTTATAGAAGAGGAACTTGTTGTACATCAGGCATCAGAGGGGACTGCTGATAAGTTGCCGACGTGAATTGTTATTGTCTGTCATTGTTGTCTTGTTATATTATGCGTAGTTGTGTGTTTGTTAAGTCAATAAAACTTTCTTACCTTTTTACTCCTGACCACTCTCTCAATCCCAAACCCTCCCGCTGGTAGCTGGGACACCTGCATAGACTCAGGGCCCCAGCCCACCCTGTGATCCATCTTTTCTCCACAGTGAACAAACCCATGACTGCATGAATTAAGTTTGCCATGATGGGGGACCAGAAGAAGTATGAACTAACTGTTGGAGACAATTTCAGCAATTAGAGCCTGGGACATTATGACTAAGAATCATTTCAAGTAGTCTGGGACAATACAGCCTTGAACTGTGGCTGCATGGAGGGGAACCTGAACTGCCATGCTAGTCTCCTCTGATTGTCCAAGTGGCAGACCTGAAGCTTTAAAACCTGCTTTGTTTCTCATTCCCTTGCTCTCTTGCTTGGTCACTCGTTCACTATACCTGTAGTAAGGTACCTATATCTATCACTAATTTGTTGTTTACCAGGACTGCCTAGGTCAATCCTACTGCTTTCTCAGGTTGCAGGAGGAAGGGGGATGGGGGCAAGTCAAAAAGCTAAGTTAAATTAATCTGTAAATTGGGGGCGGGTCCAGTTCAGAAACTTTGGTTCTTGTGGCTGATGATGTGCCATAGCAGAATGGGCTGAGAGTTCCTGATCTGGCTCATTACCTGGATTGCTGTGTTGGCCTGGGAGGGCTGCCTATCTTCAGCCACAGCTGGATTGGAGTCCTTACTATGCTCTTGGATGGTTCCAGGGGCCACTGGGCCCACCACATTTTCAGACCTGACCATGTTACTTACTGCAAAGATGTGGGAGAGTGTATTGTTTCAGGTGCATGTGAGCTTGCATGTGCTGATACGCAGTTGCTGTCCTGTGCCTTTGTGAACTGCTGTCTCAGTATGTTGCACTTGGAACACAGCTGGGCTCAGTCATGGTCATAAACCCGGGTTGCCATTTCCTTGGGAATCCAGTGATATGCCATCTTGTTTCAGTGGTTTGACTAGAGTACCCACTGATTCTTCTTGACCGAGATGGCAATGGGATTGGCTATCTTTGGGTACTCAAATGCTATGGTCAGGACCAGTGCGACCAGACAGAGTTAAAGAAGGTCCAGCTTTGGGGCCAAAAGAGTGCACTGTGGGATATCTGGAGGTCCCACACCAGAGAATCCCATGATAGTGTGGGACAAACTATTAGTAGTTTCATAGATTTCATAGACATTCGGGGCTGAAAGGGACCTCATGAGATCATCAGGTCCAGCCCCACACCATGGGTGGGAAGTCAGCTAGGATCAAGTGACCCCAGCAAGAAATAAATCCACCTGTTTGTTGAAGGAGTCCAGAATAGATGCTTGCACCACTCTTGGGGGAGTTTGTTCCAGACTCTGGAAACACACACTGTAAAGAACTTTTTTCTTATGTCTAGTCTAAATTGGCCTTCCTGGAGTTTATGGCCCTTAGACCTTGTTATCCCTTGGGCAGCTCCGGTGAACAGGTGTTCTCCAAGGTTCTGATGTCCCATCTTATGTAATTGTAGGCTGCCACCAGTCCCCCCTCCAGGCCTTGGATCATATCAATGGCTCTCCTCTGGATTCTCTCAAACTTCCCCACAACGTTCCTGAAGTGGGGGGACCCAATAATGGATGCAGTACTCTAGGTGCAGTCTCACCAGAGCTGAGTAAATTGGGAGGATAACTTCAGGCCTGTGCAAAGCGGCTAGTATTTGCTTTGGATTTGTATGCAGTGGATTTGGGGGACAGTGATTCGATTCAGTAATTCCAAACACTGTGCCAAATAGATTCTGCCAAATCAGCCAGGCCCATCCTCCCTGGCCTGGCAATGGCTGCTCTGGCCTCCTCAGCTCCCGGCACCTGGGGAAAAAAAAGCCCCAACTCAGCAGGGGCTGCCAGGTTGGGGGGCAATCCCTGCTGCCCCCCCCCCCCATGCCCCATGCTGCATTGGGGGGCTGTGCATCAGCTCCCTGCTGCTTCCCCAGCTCCCCCACTGCTGCCATTCCCATCATGGTTCTGGCTGCTTTCCCTGGTTTTGCTTCAGATGCATCAGTGGATGCACACCAGAGTTTGGTTCACTTTGCCAGCTTTACACTGTTGGACTGTAAAATAAAGTAGTTGTAATCAGGTCCAGTCAAGCACAGTTGAAAGGCAGAATGACTGTATGTGTAGTTTGGGCTTACTGGGATATCAGGCAAAGAGGAAAGATCTAAAGCTATGGAGGCATATATCTTGACTTAAATTTCCCAGTTTTTGGGTGGAGTTTTGCTTAATTCAGCATTCTGAATACTCCCCTGGAACCACCAGGAAACCCTAACTCTCTGTTAACAAAGATTTTTGTTATGGACGTTCCTAGGTCTTGTCTTGAATTCCCTTTTCTTTTAATAGAAAGAGAAGCATTATTTGAAGGAGTTAGTGGTCATTTCAGAGGTTGCCCTTTAACATGTAGTTTTGCAGTTCAGAAGCTATTGGTCAGAAGGGAAGCTAATGGATACTATGAAATCCCTAAATAATTGCTACCCCTCTAATACATAGATTCTAGTGAAAATTCGAAATGTTTGAGTGTGGAGTTGCTGATAGTACCAATGACAGAAATAACAGACATAGTTTGCATCCAAATATTATTATTATTATTATTATTATTATTATTATTATTATTATTTTATGGCTACTCTCCAAGCTTCAGGTAGGGGTACCATTTACCTCAACTTTGTCCAGTCTAGTTTTTATATGAATTACCTTGAATATACTCCAGATCCAGACGTGAGGAGCAGGGAGAGTAGATTAGGCCTCTCCAGCCCACCTCTTGAATCTGTGCAGCCAAGAGAAAGAGATGCATGGGCCATGAGGAAGAGATGCTACAGTGAGGTGGCTGTTGCTTTGTAATGGAAAGGGCTGTGGGTCCTAACCTGGACCATTGTCCCAGTGGGGTAGGAATTTCTGCTCTGTTCTCCATCTGTTCTGCTCAATTGAATATTAAAAGCAAGATATAGTGGCTCAGCCAAAAATTTGCAAGTGTCCTTGGTGACTGTGTGGTGCATGAAATGTATGAAAAGGTCATCTCATTCTCTGACTTCCTTGTAACATAGATAGCTGTGAAAATGTGTTTGTACTGTTAAGGTAGCAGGCAGCAATAGCAGAGACTAGTTTCATAGGAGCAGACGCCTGGCTGGCCCGGAATGCACAGTTCAAGCTTCCATGACTGATGAAACAAAGAGGGGAGAGAACCTGTCCCTTCTCGCAACTTTAGTGTTGAGCTGTGCAAAACATTAGAGAGCGCTGTTTCCAGATGCTGTGCTTACTTCATATTGCCACAGGATGCAGGCAGAAGAAGTAGCTGAGTAAATTAGCAGAATTAAATTAGACATAGTGAGTACACTAAAAAATCCAGGAGACTGATTTAGAAATGAATGACAAAAGCCATACGCCACTGATATTTGCCTAAAACTCTGTTTGGCAACTACCATTTAATGATCTTGAGTAAGAATAGCTAGGGGATATGACTCAATGTGCTCTTCTGTAATTCTGTCCTGCTTCTCTAATTGAAGGTAGACACAGTGGAGTGAAGCTTCTCAATGGTACCAGTCCATGTGCTGGCAGAGTGGAAGCAAAACTTGGCGATTACTTGATGAAAGTATGTTATCCTCCTGCATCTATAAAATGGCTTGCAGTAATTTGCAGAGAACTTGGGTGTGGATCAGCAATGAATATGTACAACGCCAGCCATTTTGTGGAGGATTCCAGACCATACGTAGTTCCAGCAGTTCTTTGTTATGGTGATGAGACAGCAGGCGTGGAATGCAAGGCAGCTTCCTACACTCTGGAGTCAACATGCTCTCCTTCTTTCTATACTGGAGTCACATGCTCAGGTAAGGAATTACCCATCCTTCCACCTGTCAGGATATGAATATGTACAACGCCAGCCATTTTGTGGAGGATTCCAGACCATACGTAGTTCCAGCAGTTCTTTGTTATGGTGATGAGACAGCAGGCGTGGAATGCAAGGCAGCTTCCTACACTCTGGAGTCAACATGCTCTCCTTCTTTCTATACTGGAGTCACATGCTCAGGTAAGGAATTACCCATCCTTCCACCTGTCAGGATATTGCCATGGAAGAAAAGGGACTGAAAAAAGAATGTGTCTCATCCTTCTGAAACAACAGGAATGTGGGTAAATATCCTCAACTCCTATAACTGTTATGCTCACTGCGAATGAGGACATCCAAGTCTTTAGAATCCCTTGATTAGCCTAAGTTCACTTCTCCCGATGCCATATTTACTATTTACCGTTTATAGGTTTTTACTCCATTTCAAATCAGAAACATTGTTTGCATTTAAAAAGCTATTGTATCTGAGCACCTAATTTGTATTATGGACACGTCTACATGTTGCCCTATGACATAGTAAACACCTCCACTGTGCCATACGCATGGTGCATGGTTAGCTTTCGCAACTACTTAGCCTACGTGGTGCACTAAAATGAGGGAGTGTGCAGCTATGACTAAGTAGTTGTCAGTGACATGTAGATGCACGTTGTCCCTATATTGGTGTAGTGTGTCACTATGGAGACATAGCGCATCTCTGTGGTGATGTAGCATGACGTGTAGATGCTCTCAGTATGTAGTGTCAGAGAATCTGTACTGGAATTCTGTATAATTGTGTTACATTGATAATGCATGATTGCACTGATGCACTGATGTCCGTTTTCCTCATTGCTGTCCTGGGGAACTCGAGCAAGCAGGTTACTAAGCATAGTAGTAGTAGTAGAGAGTTCCTTGGTGCAACTACAGCATCCTGATGTTCATTTTCTCCCAAAAACTTTATCTGAACTCAAATAACTCTTCTAATGGTGTTACTGTTACCTTCCAGTCTGGGTATTCATCTCCACAATCACTCTGGCTGCTTGAATGTTCCTCCCAATACCGAGACTGCATTTTTCTTTCCTTGGAGCCTTCTGTAGTTTTTTTCAGCTGTGCAAAATGAATGTGTGGTGTTTCCAAACAATAACGCTTTTGCTCACATTGCTATTAGAAATGGCAATGAGGGTGTGCGTAACTTTTCACAAGTACAAATCATTCACGTTGCAAGAGAGTGAAAGAGTAGATCCTTAGCTTTCAGTTTGTAGCAAGTACAACGTGTCTTTCTTCCTCTCTTTGCTTTTCTTATTCCTTCTTCTGCCTTACTTACTGTATTCTTTCTTGAGTATAAGTGGTAGGATTATTTAAAGCTGTTGCCTGTTCAACTGAAAGTGGAAACCACAAAACTTTTTGTTAACATTTAGTAACAGTGCAATACGCAATATCAGAATAATTAATCAGAAAACAAAGTGTTTAATAAAATAGTCATGTGCCCTATCCCTCGTGATTAGTTAAAAATTAAATAATTGAGAAGCAGAAAATTAATTAGTGTGTGTATGGACAGGTAATTCCCTATTTTTAAAACAATTTTGGATGCAAAATGTTTGAAAAAAGTATCTGCATTTACTAAAAGCTGAAATGGAGGGCAAAGGGTTTCAGTGTTACATTCATTGATGGATTGATTGACTCCAGGTGACACACAGCCCCGGTTGATTGAAGGTGACAATGCCTGCTCAGGACGTCTGGTGATAAGACTTGGACACACTTGGGCTACTGTCAGTGATTCCCACCTTGATCCTAAAGCTGCCAGTGTGATTTGTAATGAACTACAATGTGGAGCAGTTGTATCCATCACAGGAGGAGCTCACTTTGGAGAAGGACAAGGGCCAATCTGGAATGAAAAGTTTCAGTGTGTGGGAAATGAGTCTCATCTTGCTTACTGCCCCCGAGCACCACCCATGAATCAGACAGGCTCACATGCAAATGATATTGGCCTCATATGTTCACGTAAGATTTTAGTGTGGTAGCTTAAAAATAGGAATATAGAAATGTAGTACCAAAACAGACCACCTGAGACACTGAATCCAACCCCTGGCATTTGCAGGAAGCCATTTATTTATTTACTAGGCAATGGCCATTATGAATGACGGGTGGATCGCGGGGACGGAGTGCCAACACCCACCACTCTTTGCCTCCACCTGTCTGTGTCTGGCTCACACCTGCCACACACACCACATCCACCCAGCGACATACCACACCCACCCACACAGCCACCTCCCTCACACACACAGCTGCATACCACCCACCACACCCTGTCGCCCACTACACACCCACCCAGCCACATGCCACACCCACTTAGCCACACATCACACCCATGCACACACCCAGCAACACACTATGTGCATGTATACTCCCAGCCACATGCCACACCCACCCAGCCACACGCCAGACACTGCACACACCTGGTGTGGCCGGCTGCCCCCACTCACTGTGAACGGCAGGCTGGGGCAATCAGAGCCTGGTGGCTTGTGCAGGGGCATGGTGTGGGGAAGCTCAGGGAGGCAACGTGCTCCCCTCCCCCCGCTCCCCCGCAGTGTGTGCAGCAGTGGGAGCCACCTGCCTCCACCTCTGGAGAAGCCACCAGGCTCCTATGGCCCCAGGACACAGCCTTTCCAGAGCCCCATTCTCCCAACTATGCCCTGGGCAGGCCAGGTCATGGGACAACTGAAGCCCAGTGGCTCCTCCAGGAGTGTGGCGCACCATGGGGGAGTATGTGCCATCCACTCCTTAGTTCCCCCATGATGCACCTTGGTGGGACTCACCCACCCATGTCTGTGCAGGAACAGCTGGGCTCTGGGTATCCCATGGCCCGGCCTGGCCAGTGTCCCGGGCTGGGGGCAATCAGACCCCAGTGGTTCATGCAGGGACACGGTGTGGGGGAGTTCGGGCTTGGGGTGGGCGGGGGGAAACATGCTCCCCTCTGTCAGCTCCCCCAGTGCGAATAGCAGCGGGAGCTGCCTGGCTATGGCCCTAGAGGTGTTGCTGAACTCCCATTGTCCCAGGACCTGGGCCGGGCTGAGTGCAGCCCTCTCCCCTGTCAGGAACAGCCCAGCAAAGCCCCAGCCCCCAGTCCCTCATGGCCCTTCCAGTGGTACTGGTGGCTGCTGTGACCCCCCACTCCCTGCTCCTCTACACACTTCCTGCTCCCCTCCAGGCTGGCTGCTGTCAAGGGAAAGTGCATTGCGGTGGCTCCCTGGCCTTCGACCACATCTGCTCGCTTCCCTGAGCCCTGGCACACAGGAGCCCTGGCACACAGTTGTGCCCAGGCCCCCGGGCCCAGCCAATCAGTACCTGCCCTCTGGGCAGCGCATGTGCAGTTGGCCCAGAGCGTTATGGACACAAAGAGACACAGACAAAGCTTTTATTTTATTAGAATTTATTTATGTGTTTGTTTGTTTCTTTATTAATAAGCTGTCCTTCCCAACAAAGGCTCACCCTTTCAAACCTACATACACAACACCAAGACAGCATTGATATGAATTTTGGGCTTGGGTAGAGCAACGAAGAAATATCCCTTTGTTGGAAGGAAGGACAGCAGGATTGGAATCCATGTCTAGTAAAATATCTGAAAATCCAAGATAATCAGAAGGGTTCTCACTTTCTGATTTCCCATTCTTTGACTATTTGGTACAAAATGGGGACATGAACTGTTGTGCTCCTCTCTAATCACTGTCCATCTTCTCTTCTCCTCAGGGTTCACAGGGTTCAGGCTGGTGAACGGCAGCACCCAGTGCTGGGGGAGAGTGGAGGTCCAGGTGCTCGGTGCCTGGGGCACCGTGTGTGACTCGCGCTGGGATTTGTCAGATGCCAACGTTCTCTGTCGTCAGCTTGATTGTGGATTTGCAGTGTCAGCTCCAGGAGGAGGGCATTTTGGGAGAGGAACGGGGCCCGTCTGGAGAGACACATTCCACTGTAATGGGACTGAACCCCATTTATGGCACTGCCCGGTTACTGCCCTGGGAGTCTCTCAGTGTTTCCATGACCGTGATGTCAGTGTGATTTGCTCAGGTGAGCAGAGAAACAATGGCTCTGGCCCCAAATAACACTGGTACAAGAATTTTTCACTCAGTCGGTTTCCACTTCACTCACCTGCTTCGTAGTGGTGGAATATCTAAGAGGACACTGCTTTTATATATATATAGGCACTGCTTTTATATAGTCACTTCTGTTATGCTTTCTTAGTGCAATGGGGCAAGAAACTATTACAATGATAGTTATTACTTAGAGATGCTCCCAAATTTAGATGATTTGGTAATTGGGGCAAGGTTTCTTAGTGATATAGCTAGCCAGTTCAGTTACTCAGAGAGAGACATAGTCTACAGGGATTGCTTATTGTTCCAGAATATAACGTGTTGTATAGTTCTTGTCATTCACTGTGTATATTGGACCTTATGATCACTACATCTATGTCATAGTTTTTTAATCTGGGCCACTAGCATCACCCTCCTCTGTGAGACCACTTCTGCATTCTCTGCATAGAGGGCAAGGACTGTAGTGAACAGGGCAAAGCCGATGCATAGCCCTTTAGTAGAAGAACCTTCCCCTCTGCCAGAAGTTACTCTATCTTCACAGAAAACTCCTGCCGCCACCCTGTAGCCCGATGAGAGTCAAGACACCCTCACTCCTTCAGGCAGTTGCCATGGTTCATTCAGCAGGTGGTATCTTAAATTATACTTCGTAATGTGGCACACGGCAGATGACTGGAGCTGTCCAGAGCTACCAGAAGCAAGCAGGTGAACATACCCTTTTGCCTTTTGGTGGCCATAGCTACTGTTTGCTGCTAGAATTTCTGGCAGCAGATGCAGAGGAGTGAAGCATATTCTTAGACACCGAGACACCTTCAATCAGCACCTTCAATCACCTGTTGGGATGTCTCCCAGCAGAAGTCAAAGCTATGGTATCTTCTCTCTACCTTCCTCAGACTACGTTTATATAATGGCAGGGAGACAGGGACTGCTACTACTTTAATTAGGGCATCACCACAAAGTCACCTGGGCCATCTGGTGGCAGGGGTTTTCCTTTTGCTGGAGCTACACCCTCACCCCTGACAACAGAAGCTCTGCAGGGAGAAAGCAGAAGCTGCATCCACACTTGGGGTTTTGCCAGCAAAGCTACTTCAGGTATAGGGTCTGATCTTTCCACGCTCACTGCCAAGACAGCTCTGATGGCTAACAAGCAAAAGTCCAGTGTTGTTCCTTCGCCTCAAGGAACGCACTTAGTTGGAGGTCCTGGCTAACAACTCCCTGCCAGGGCTCTAGCCTCGAGTATAAAAATTCTATTGAAGGATTCATCTAAATTCCTTGTAACAGCAGTTGGTCTTCTTATCACTGTAGTTCTCTGAGTATTTGATAACCAATGTATTTTTATGCATACATACATTCTGCATGTTATATAATGGAAAATAGAAAGTGTTGTTCAGTTCATTTTCTCTCTCACCATCACTTATACTGTTGAATGGAGAGAGCTGGTGCGATGGGCAAGTCGAGATTTCCCTCGGTGGAACATGGAGCAGAGTCCTGGATGATCAATGGGACATGAATGATGCCAGCGTGGTGTGCAGGCAGCTGCAGTGTGGAGCTGCTGAGAAAGCCTATCACCCTGCAAAGTCTGAGCGCGGGACAGGTCCTGTGGGGTTCAGAAGTGTCCAGTGTGCTGGACACGAGTCTAATCTGATGCTCTGTAACAACTCCCTGTCTGAGGCAATGCAGGCTGGGATAGCAGAAGACGTCAGTGTTGTTTGTGCAGGTGACTCCCCGGAAAATCCTACAAACACCTTCTTCTGTCAGGGGTACAGCCAGGAAGTAAGCGGTCAGGGTCACAACCCAGGGGATCAGGAACAGACATGTCAGGGAGCAAAGGACCACAGTTGTCATGAGTCAGGTCCAGGGGGGTCAGGAGCCTGAGGGCTCTAATGTGCCCAGATGTTGGCAGTTTTGAAACATGAGACCAGGGGTCAGGATCAGTAAGCAGGGATCTAGCCAGAGTGACCAGCCAGGAGGCCCGGAGCAGTAGTTATAGCTTATGGGATTGGGATATTGGGGATTACTACAGGCCGGGAGCTGGCTGGGAGTCGGGCTTGGAACCAGGATCATGGTGGGTCAGGGAGTCAGCGAGACAGGCTGGGAGAACAGATTGTTTTCTTTCCATTTTCTTTCCTTCCTGCTCCTCCTCTTACGTTAACCCTACTCTGTGGGCCATTTCCTGTAGGAGATCGCCCAAGGGTTCTTGACTCGATGTTCCTGATTGTTTTTTCCTTTCCTTTTTCTTTGGAGGTTGAAAAGTATCTTAAAGAGGTACCCTTTCTTTCCACAGAGACTATATTGCCATAAACCTTCCCTTTGCTTTGCCATGTGCCCCACTTACCTGCACATTGAACAAATTAGCCAAGTGTGGGCTGCTGCTAGGTGTCCCTGTTTGCCACATTTAGGACAAAATTTTGGCTTTCCATAGTAATATGTAACACTGCAGATAGCACCTGCTTCTACCAATGTGAGGAGACTGTATACTCCTCCTGGACCTGAGGGGTTGTGGGGTCTGCTTTTAGAAGGGCTTTGGCCATCCAAGTGCCTGTCCATATCCTGTTTTTAGCCCCTATTTTACTGATCTTTCTTATTTCCTCAGAGTGCATCTTTACCTATATTCATAAGCCTGTTTCAGTGAATGTATTTTAATTTCTACCATTCTCTCTCTATTATTTTGCACCACATTAAAAACAGTGTACATCAATATTGGGTAGCCCTTGGCTTCTTGAAAGCTGCCTAGAAATTTCTGATAGCCTTTTTGTCTCCTAAAACCCTGATCCTAGTCTAGTCCCAGATCTATAACAATGAAGCAGTTTAGGTCTGATGGGCAGACTTTCAGTATCTTCTGAAGCACAGTTTGACTGATTTCCAGACTCATCGTTTCCAATTTCCCAGTACCAGAGAGAAGCTCGGCTGTGGCACTTATCCTCGCAAGTGAGCATCGTTGATTCCTGCAGGTCCCTCCATTTTTTCTTCCCCTTCCCCTCTCCCACCAGGAAGGGCAGGAAGTGTCTCCACTGGTGCCATCAGTGTCACAGCCCCAGTCACTGTCTCCTGCAATGTTGCCATAGCCATTATTACCATTGGTTCAGGGTCAGCTCCTACCTGCCATCCTGCCAGAGGGCCGAGTAGACAAGGCCGCTGCTACCCAAGCAGTCAGAGGCTGCAGACTAACAGGGAGGCAACTGTCACATTGACCAGTCTTGTGTGCTCTGAAAGACCTGCTGCTAATCAGTAGCCAGTCAGACCCTTACCCCCATTGAGCTGGGGGCTGTTTGGCCTGCTTGCTGACCTAACTCCTGACATCCACAATTGAGTAGAAATATGAGTATCATAGGACTTGCCACCAGCCTACTTTGTGAAGTGATCTCACTTGGATGCAAAGAGATGTTAACACAAGGGTCAAATCAGTACATTTTTGGTTGGCAGGATAGCAATATAGTAAGTTCCAAAGCATGGCTGCAATTCTTCTGCTTCTTGTACCTCTGATGGGGGTAGAGGAAGGCACAGCCTATTTATGAGCCTGAATTATTTCCTGTCCAATATCTTCTTGTATTCTAACTTTGCAGGTGTTTTCCTTTATTTTTACTTGTAAGTCCAGGTTTTTAAGTAATTTCAATATATGAGCTTTTTAAATATCAGAATGATTTACATGAAAACTATTCAGTTATCATTAATTTGCCCATTAATTACTGTGATTTCTCCATACAGGAAGCAGGAAGATCAGACTGGTGAATGGGGCAGGTCGCTGTGCTGGGAGAGTGGAGGTTTATTACCAGGGCACCTGGGGGACTGTTTGTGATGATTCCTGGGACTTGTCTGATGCCAGCGTAGTTTGCCAACAGCTGGGATGTGGACACACCATTGAGGTATCTGCCTCTGCTCACTATGGGGAAGGCTCAGGGCAGATCTGGCTGGATGATGTGAAATGCACTGGGAATGAGTCGGAGCTGTGGGCATGTCCTTCCAGGAGCTGGGGCCAACACAACTGCCGACACAAAGAGGATGCAGGAGTGCTCTGTTCAGGTCTGTTCTGTAACTGCTCTCATGAGCCTGGTTACCAGGGGCATACTGGAGTGGAGAGATGAGAATGATAGAGATCCTCTTTGACTATCTATCTTTCTTTCTCACTTGCCATCACATGAAAGTCATTATTAGAGTGCTGCTGAGGAGGAGTCAAATTTTTGAGGGGAGAAATAATAATGATAGAGGTCTTCCCTGGATGCTTATTTTTGTTTCTTGTTTCCCACTTATGAAAGTCATCATTAGAATGCTGCTTTTTCCCATAATTGCCTTGCATAGAGCTGGCCATGATCTCTGGGATTTCAGTGTGCATACTGCAGGCTTGATCAGGATCCTGTCAGTACAAGTTGTTTTTTTGCATTTCCTTGTAGAGTTCATGAATCTGAGGCTGGTGAATGGTGGTGACTGTGCTGGACGGTTGGAGGTTTTCTACAATGGGACATGGGGGAGTGTTTGCTCCAATCGAATGACTGATATCACCATTGAAATTATATGCAAGCAGCTCAGCTGTGGAGTTGGAGGGGCACTTGCAATTGAATCTGCCTATGGAGCAGGTTCTGGTCCCACATGGCTGGACCACATTGAGTGCTGTGAGCATCACGGTTCCCTTTGGCAGTGCCCATCAGAGTCATGGGATCTTCAGCTGTGTGATGACCGGGTAGAAGAGACCCACATTTCTTGCAGTGGTAACTCTAAAATAATCTTTAAACACACATACATGCCCAGATGATACACCAACACCCTCAGATGTACAACTGCACCTGCACACATGTGCTCACGTTCACTGAGGCTCTGAGTTAGAAAAATATTGCGTTTATTAGGCAAGGTGCCTGTGAGGTGCCTATATATTAGGCACCCAGTTTTGTGTGTGATATCTTTTACTGGATCTAATGTCTAGTTGGGAAAGACAGATAAGATATCAGGTACCAAAGTCCCCTTCCTTCAGTCTTTGGGAGAGAAGCAGTCACAGTAGAGCATTCAAAATCTTTAATTGATTAGACCTTTTTTCATTCTGAATATTATAATAAACTTTTTATATTTTGGGGATGAAAATCAGTGATGGACCCAAACTGTGAGGTTTCAATCCGGGTGACAATTTTCCGAAAATCCGTTTGTGTATATTTCGGCAAGTGGCTTGGATATATGTATGAGGATGCTGGATCTGAGCTGTAGGTTTATTTTGGTTCCAGATACAGTAAAATTGTATCTCTTCACGGGAATTGCCTACTTCTCCAGGTGTTTTTCAGATAATAAAACTGTTCACTACAAGGCTCTTTACAAAAGGATAAGGAAGATACTCAAAGAGGGAAAGCATGGTGTGAGAAATCACAATCACATGCACAACGGCAGAGATCTGCAAGAAGTTTGAGAAATCATGTTTATAACTAAAGTACAAATCCTTTGGGTATTACATAAACTAGAACTTCTATCTTATTCATACAGGGCGCGTCTACCTGTACCCATATGGCGATGTTGCTCCTGCGTCATGCCCGTGCTTTAAAACTTCCAAAAGAAGTGCTAAAGCCTGGCGCAGGTGTAGCCCATACTGTGTTGTCTATTGGGCAAATGATTATTTTTAGCTGCTGCCATGCCGTGGTGGCATGCTACAGTGAGGGAGTGCAGTGCTGCAGCAAAGTAGCTGTTGGTCATGTGTAGATGGACACGATCGCTTCATCAGTATAGCACGTCACTAAGGCAAATTACCGTCGCATGTAAACTTGCCCACAGTGTTGCAGTGGAGAGGTTATAGATTCTACTTAATTTTTCATGAAACACAGTAATTTGTTCACTCATGGTAATATTTATTTCTGTAGGAGGAAAAGAAAACAGTACACAAAACTCATTTGCTGCGTGCCCAGGCTCTACAAACTGCACAGGTATCAATGCTTCTCTGTATCTCGTCTCAAATTCTAACGACCTTCCCAGCTGTCCCAGTAACATGTGAGGTTTCCGCCTTTCCCAGACAAGAAAAAGCTCCGTGTTGTGCAAGGAAAGGATGGACGTTCGGGGAGAGCAGAGGTTTGGCACCACGGCTCCTGGGGAACGGTGTGTGATGACTCCTGGGACATGGCAGATGCAGAAGTCGTGTGTAAACAACTGGGCTGTGGACCTGCTGTGTCTGCCCTGGGTGAAGCAGCATTCGGGGAGGGGACTGGCCCCATCTGGCTGGAGAAGTTGGACTGTTGAGGGACAGAGTCATCTCTGTGGCACTGTCCTGCGAAGCACTGGGAGGATGGTAACTGCCACCATAGAGAAGATGCTGCTGTGAATTGCTCTGGTGAGTGTAAGCCTCATTGCACAGGTTGGAAAGATTCAGTTCGGAAAGTTTCCTGCAGAGATGGTATGTGAGGCTAGAAACAGATATTGTCAGTGAAGCGTGATTGGCTGTGCTGTGATAGGTTGTGGCACAACTGATCACACTCCATGGACATCTAGAGACATGCCTGTTTGCTGAGCCGTAACTTGGGGTGTATCTGCATGAGGGGGAAACCAGTTTGCAGACATGTCCCTGGGTTGGGCAGGGGACCCCGGTGGGAGTTCCCCCTCTGCACCGGTATGCTTGCATTGGTGTTGAGCCCCAGCTCAAGTCTGGGATCGTGCCCGGTATGCAAAAGCCAATAAAGATACCAGGGGTGAAAGTATAAAGATTTATTGCTAGCAATACAAGGTGCAAGCGGAATAATTTCACGTAACAAGCACACAGAGTCTTAATTATGAGCATCTTTTATACAGGAGTATTGGACCTTCATAAGCATTCTTGTTTGCTAATTGGTTATAAGGGAGTGACGCAAGGAGTTCTTTACTGAGCATGTCTCTATACCTGTGTTTTAGCTATGTATCTCATTTACATACATGTATGTTTCATTAGCATACTTTCTCCCCACCTAGGCGCGTGATTTTTAGTATTTTAATGAGCTCTTTGCCCTAGTCCTCTGATTCTGTTTTAGGAATTGACTATTAGCAGAGAAAAACAGGAATTTTTGTTCTGCTCACAGAAGCTGAAGCTTATTCTACATAAAACCTTGCACAAATTATTTTCTTACATTGACTAACAATGTATTATTACAAGGTTAATACAATCCTTACCAGCAAGGGTAGAGGTAAACCTAGGTATGTCTTTGTAAAAATATTAGCTTCAATTACTGGAAAATCAAATTTGGTGAACAACTGGCTTCAGCTCTGCTCTATGCCAATAAACACAAACTTCTTTTCTTGTTTGTTAGCTTTGCCTTTGTTATTCCATGCCAGTTCTGGACCCATTAAGGCAATATATATTTTCACAATGATGATTTTCCTATCACATATACAAAGTATGAATTCATGGTAGCCAAATCTAAATGTACTCTCAAACTGCAAACGCTCAGGGAAATAGTCCAGAGGGGATTTTTGTTGTAATATTTATTATAGCAATACCATAGATTCTGCTAACAAAACCACTGCTTTGTCAGCATGTTCTGGAAAAATAATAAAAAGGACTATAAATAAAATACATAAATGTAATTAAAGATTAAATCTTTAAGCAGAAACCCTCTCTCAAATAAGGGAAGAAATGGGATTTTTTGTTGTTTTTATCTGCATGATATAACCTATTTTTCCCAGGGTTTTTTTTTCATTAATCCTTTAGCATAATTACTAACATAGCAATTTCTCAAAAGATAAATGGAGGATGGGGGTCATAAAATCATCACACACAAGGCTATTTATCAATTAGGTAAGCCAAGTCTTGATACAAAACAGTACTGCAGAGGCAGGCAGATAAAAAGACTGTCTCTCTCTTCCTGAGGAAAAACATGTTTTTTAAAGAGCTCACAGGGAATCAACTTGGGAATCCTGTCACACAAAAGTGGGGAAATGTAACAAATAAAAGAAAAAAGAAAAAGTACATACAATGGTCTCTAATGGTAAATATAAATGGTTTTAGCTTGCAAGCATTTATATTTCCCTGGGCTGCTAGGGGTGCAGTCTTTTCCCTGCATCTATTCATATTATGGGTATGAGATACATCCCTTATTTTTCTAGAGATTTCAATCAATGTTCTGTTGATATTCATCTATTCTAGTCAGAGACATGTATTAACAGTGCAGATTAAGTTGGACATTTGGTACTAGGCCAAAGCTTTTAAAAATATAACTTGTTTTTGGCACTTACATTTTTCATGCCTTCTTTAGAAATGTACAGAACTTGCAGCTTTCCCTGAAGATGACTGGTGCCTCTGAAAAACAGGTCCTAGGTCTCAAGCAAGGCTCCCCAAATCATTGGCTACTGTAATATCTGAAGGAAAATAGAACAGGTAGCAGAGGTAGGAATAAGGAGCACTAACCATGGCTCTCAAAGAAACTTACGGTCTATAGTCTTTAGAGCACTAATGTTAGAGTTGGGAGACATGGGTTTGAATCTCTTCTGAAGAGTAGGGAACTAAATCTGGTTCTCACACATCCAGTGCCAGTACTATAGCCACAAAACTATTGTATGTATTGGGAGCATCACAAGCACCTTATTTCTGGACATATTTTACAAAAAAGCTCTAACTGCTACTGCATTGCACTGCATTTTGAGTGGAATTCAACCTCATAGGCATATTCTGGAAGAACCAACTGAATTAGGCAAGACAGGAGGAGGAATGACTAGCTTATTGATCTTTATGGGACTCTGATATGAGATAGTCCCTGGAATCTTAAAAAAAAAAATAGGGCTGGAAGGAACCTCTGGAGGTCATCAAGTCCAACTCTTTCTCCAAGGAGGGCAGGATCATCGCTGTCTAAATCTTCCCAGAGAAGTGTTTGCATAACCTGCTCTTAAAAATCTTCACAGGATGGAGACTCCACAATCTCTGTAGTCAGTGGTGCTCAATCTCTGGCCTGCAGGCTCAATCCAGCCCATATAGCTATGTCATCCAGTCCTCAGGGTTCTCCATGGGTCTGAAAATTTGGCAGCAAGGGAGTGGTGGCAGAATTAATTACCACTATCTCGATGCCAAATTTCTGACCTGTGCATGAAATCACAACAGCATACAGGGCTGCTCTGGAGCATGGCTGGATCTTGGGTCAAGCCAGCATATGTCCAAATTTGGCACATGGGGCCAGAGCAGCATGTAGGATCCAGCCATGGACCAACCCTGTGCCACTCACCCAGATCACAGGGCAAAAAGGTTGGACATCACTACTTTAGGTAATCTGTTGCAATGCTTAACTACCTTCATAAAGTCCTCTCCTATCCAACATAAAAATTCATTGCTATTTAAGATGGTTACTTCTTGTCCCCTGAAGACTCAGAAAATTATCTGTCACCATTTTCTCCGTAATCCCTTTATGTATTTGAAAACTGCTAGCAAATCTCCTCCTCTCCCTGCCTGCCTCCTGTCCCGTGGGGCCCACAGAAGGGTTGGAGATGCCACAGGAGGGGAGATGATGCCACAGAAGGGGCAGCAACACCCGGACACGATGGGAGAAGCAGCGGCCCGAACAGGCGAGGACACCTGTTCGGGCCGCTCAATTAACTGGCACTATATATATCTCCACAGTGAAATAGCACTAATATATATGTGCTATAATGCTATTTCATTTTCATCATGGAAAAATGTGGATTTGGGTTTATTTTTTTAATCCAAAAATTGTGTATATTTTAAATCAGAGAAAACCAGGATCCCTGGTAATGCCACTATTAGGCAGTACCAAATGCAGGACAAACCTCTGGGTGTCCCATTTGATATCTTCACGCAGTTTGATTCTCAACCACTGGTGACTAGTCTTTAAGCATGAGTCAACCAATTATGTATGCACTTTACAATATGTTTAGTTTTCAGAGGAGACTAACTACCGAGCCCTTCCATGACAGAAATGCTTCTAAGTATGTACAGAAACAGAATTTGAGGAGTCTAGGGAATTTTAAATGTCAAACTCTGAGGTGCTTGCTGAGCTTCAGTGCTTGCCAGGGGTAGATCAAGGGCAGGGTGTAGTGGTACAGTTGCATTCCCCTTTGATTCCTGACCCATCCAAAGTTAAAAACTGACTATCAGTGGCAGATGCACTTCTAGTCAGGCAGGAGTCAATTGACTTCATGGCTCATTATAATCTACTTGGCTGCTTGTACATGCCACAGTTTAATTCTCCCTAAATTGAAGTGGTGGGTTTTTAAAAACACTGAATTAAACTGAAATAAACCCCTATGGCATGTACACAAAGGCCAGGCCCAATCCTTACCTGCCTCTCCAGCAGCAGAGGGGGTGGGGGGAAAG